GAGAGAGAGAGAGAGAGAGAGAGAGAGAGAGAATGTGTGTGTGCGTGTGTCGTTTCCACGAGAGGATCTTTTTCTACGGCCCCCGAGTCCCTTATATTAGAGAGGCAGCTTTTTGTCATAGGCCTTTTGTCCGCAGGGTGTTTAGCAGATAATGTTTAGCGTGAGGGTTTTAGCAGAGGGCGGTCAATCATTGGGACACCATCTCGGAACGAGAACAGAGGGTTGCATCTGACGGAGGCTTGTTTAGCAGAAAGGGCTATATTGTACGAGTCTTGCTGCTTGCCTGCTATTCTCTCTCTCTCCTACATCTCAATTCTCTCTCAGCTGTCTGGATCACTGATTTTCAAAGCGAACAGAATCTCATTACAGCTAACACAGTTTAATTGCAGATAAATTAATCTAACTGCAGATAGGGAGCGGAGAAATTATGTCCAAGTTTCCTCACAGAGTTAGGTCATACTCACGCTATCCCTTTCCTGAATGTATATGACCGCAATTAGGGCCGCTCCTGGATGAATCTGACCACAATCCCATCCAAAGCTTTTTTTTTTTTTTTTTTTTTTTACTGAGAATAGCCCTTGTGATATCCCTCTATCCTGGCGGTGGTAGGAGAACCGTCAGAATTGACGGCTTATCTTTGGGGCTGCTCCATCTATTGGTGGGGAGCGGCACCTGCTGGAAACCGGGTCCAGCATCCCATTAATACATCTTGTAACACTGGGATTGCTGTTTGGTATTTCCTAAGGCTATGGTCCTTGTTTGTCTCATCCCGAGACCCCTTTGACCCATGGAGCTGCTAGTGTCACCCTTCCCTTTTTGGAGCCCTTTCATCTATTAACCCAGCCCTATTGAGCAGCCCCCCCCCTGTCTATGTCTGTCCTCATAAAACCCTTTTTTGAAAAACAGAACCCGCTGTACAGCAGATAGCCTGCCAGCATTGATTGCCCTTGAGGGCTCTTCATACCACCGCCTCTTCAGTCTGCATCAGACCGCCAGATCTCACATGTTTCCCTAGCGGTTACTTCCACCGATACCTTCCATGTAGAAAATGTGCTAGTGTGAGTATGCCCTCTTGCCAGCCACTCAGCGTAGAAACCACAGCAGTTGGGCGTGCTTGCACTTTTGCGATAGAGCTTTCATGGTTGGCCAAAACATTTTCCATCGCATTGACAATATGAAACATTTCGATAGCTCTTCAACAAAAAACTGGTGCCAGTGTGGCCCAATGGGCTAGAGCTTGTCCTTTCATCGTAGGCCCCTCTGCTGTGCTCTGAATGTACCAAGGCAAGATAGATTGCAAAGCCTTCACTACTCGTCGGAACAATGACAGGAGACACACACGCACCCACACACACACACACACACACACACACACACACACACACACACAC